CTCTATGACCGATGACGCCTTTGCCAGAGCTTTCAAAGTCTGGAGTGATGTTACCCCTCTGACGTTCACGCGCCTCTATGACGGCACTGCTGACATCATGATCTCCTTTGGCAAAGCTGGTGCGTTGAGTTGTTGTAATAGATTAAAGTATTACGATTTATCAGTGTTTGATTGAGCTGCTGTTTTTATTTCAGATCACGGCGATCCCTACCCCTTTGACGGGAAAGATGGGCTGCTGGCTCATGCCTACCCTCCAGGTGAGGGAATGCAGGGAGATGCCCATTTTGATGATGATGAATACTGGACCCTTGGCTCTGGACCAGGTGAGAGTGATTCTTGATTTATATTTCAATACACCCCATTTTCACTGCATGTATTTAATATATAAGTACTTTAAACACCATGTAGCATCATACTCTCTAACAGTTGCATGGGATGCACAGTATAACAATAGCTCCCTCTACAGTTTTGAGTGTATAGTGACAGTTGGAGTCTGTCCTAAAACAGGGTTAGTCAAACTGATAATATATTAATCTGGGGTAATATTTTAAATGTTAGCTTTGAGTTCCATCCAATATCAATAGTATATAGAATAGTATTTTTCCTATGTAGTATAAATGAGTAAGTTATATATTAAAATCATGTATAGCTCTGTTTTTAAACTGGGGTCCTGTTGTAATAGCTTTGGGTTCCATCCAAATTCTTTTGGAAACGTACTGTCTTTATAATATCACGCTTAATATCTTTCATATAAACTGTATTTTCAAATTTGTAGCTCTGTTTTTAAACCAGGGTCTGGGTAATATTTTAAATGTTTGCTTTAGGTTTCATTCAATAAAAATAAAATTGCCATTTAATTACTTTTAGAAACATACTGTCTTTATAATATCACATTTAATATTTTTCATAAATAATATAATGAGTTCTTATATATTAAAAATTTATATCTCACACAGGTCAGGTCAACATGTTTACTCGTGTATACCTTGTCTTAAAATTTGTGGAAAAGGCAATGACATTGTGTTTCTTTCAGCGATTCAAACCCGCTATGGTAATGCAGAGGGTGCGATGTGTCACTTCCCCTTCCTGTTTGAGGGAACATCCTACTCCACCTGCACCACGGAGGGGCGCACAGATGGTCTCCCCTGGTGCGCAACCACCGCAGACTACGACAAGGACAAGAAATTTGGCTTCTGTCCCAGTGAGCGTAAGTGTTCCAGTCATGATTTTATGAGGGTTTAATTCCAAAACAGACATTTAAACTGACTCCTTTGGCCTTCAAATGTACAATTAATGTCACAATATTTCAACAACCACCAGTATTTATTATTATGAGCATGGCTAACATTCTTTTCTCTGTTTTCCCCCAGTTCTCTTCACGTTTGGCGGGAACAGCAACGAAGCACCATGTGTTTTCCCCTTTGTGTTTCAGGGGGGAAAATATGACTCGTGCACCACAGATGGACGAAATGATGGGTATCGCTGGTGTGCCACTACGGCTAACTTTGACACTGATAAGCAGTATGGATTCTGTCCTAACAGAGGTAAGCAGTACCTTCAGGCTGAACCCTGAAACTTTAATGAAGTAAGCTATTTTATAATACAATATTTCCCCTCACAGATACAGCTGTGATTGGTGGAAATTCAGAAGGTGAGCCATGCGAGTTTCCTTTCACCTTCCTTGGAACCAAATACTCTTTTTGCACCAGTGAAGGCCGTAGTGATGGAAAACTCTGGTGTGCAACTACCAGCAACTATGACACAGATACAAAATGGGGATTTTGCCCTGATAGAGGTAAGTGATAGTCATCTCTTTCAGACACTATAAAAAATATGAAAGTGAGATATTGGCTAACATGTCTTTTCTCTCACAGGATACAGTCTGTTTCTGGTGGCTGCTCATGAGTTTGGACATGCACTTGGTTTGGACCACTCCAACATCAAAGACGCACTGATGTATCCCATGTACAAATACGTAGAGGATTTCTCTCTGCATCATGATGATATTGAGGGCATTCAGTATCTCTATGGTATTTATCCATCATTTATTGATTTTTAGGATTACGATGCATTTTCTTATTCAAAATTCAAGATTTTTGATGTTGAAAGCCAATAGTCTTTTACAATTCTGGTCTTAATAGCTATATTATTGAATTATTTCATTTCAGGACCTAAAACTGGCCCTGATCCCACTCCTCCAGAACCACAGTTCACCACTTCCTCTCCGATTTTGCCAACTAAATCCACCCCGAGTGAGAAAACAACCACTGTTTCTACCACAGTACATGTCGACCCTTCACAGGATGCTTGCCAAATCAAGGAATTTGATGCCATCACTGAAATCCAGAAAGAGCTTCATTTCTTCAAAGATGGGTATGAGCTATAACTCTACATATGTAGTGTTATGAACTTACAAACACAACTTCGAAAACGAACTTCATTATGCCTTATTTTCAATTACATGTTTCTAAATTCTCTCTCAAAGGCACTACTGGAAGATCTCAAACAAAGGAGAACGCAAAGGTCCTTTCTTGATATCTGAGAAGTGGCCTGCCCTGCCAGCCGTCATTAACACAGCCTTTGAGGACCAGCTCACGACAAAGATCTACTTCTTTGCAGGTACTTCTTTACCTGGCTGAGATATTTCGCCATTATTGCCGAACATGTTGAAGTTGATATATAACAGTGCTTTTTCAACTGTATCGCATGCACACAGAAAAACAGTTCTGGGTTTATACTGGAAATGAGGTGTTTGGACCACGTAAAATCGAGAAGCTCGGCCTGCCAAGCAACTTGGACAGAGTGGATGGAGCTGTGCAGAGAGGAAAAGGCAAGGTGCTCCTGTTTAATGGGGAGAACTTCTGGAGGTATGAGAACAGTGCTTCAGGACTGTAATGTGCAATAGTAAAGCTCTTTCACTGTAGTTTTTCCACAGTATTCTTATCTCTTATTTATTGTCACAGACTTGACGTAAAGGCTCAGATGATAGACAGAGGATACCCACGATTCACTGACTCCGCTTTTGGTGGAGTGCCCATTGATTCACATGATGTGTTCCTCTACAAGGGTGATTAAAAATGAATAGTCTAAAATAGTTAGTAAAGTCTGATTAACTACTCTGATTTATCTGATCAAGCAAATGACATTTGTTTCTGCTATTTTTCAGGATTCTTTTACTTCTGCCGGGAGAATTTCTACTGGAGAATGAATGCCAGAAGGCAGGTTGACCGAGTGGGTTATGTGAAGTACGACCTCCTAAAATGCTAAGATGTGCAGTCGCTGTGCACAGTGAAAACATCCAACATCCTAACCTGATGACAGAGCCCTTTTTAATAGGGAAACCATTTCTCTTCAGTGTAAAATGTAGTGAGGAAGACACAGCCAGAATGTATTAAATTTAAAGTCTCTGTTATGGGGACTTTGACTTTAACTGTTATAGGAAAAGAACTGTTTTAACACTGAAATGATCTTAGGCACATGAAACGGGATGTTAGGCACATTTGTCTGTCAGCTTTAACGTGGTCTTATAATTTATTTCAGCTTACTATATAACTGCTTTGTCCATGGTGAGTTTCTTAACAGCACATTAAGAGAAACTATAATCTTGTTCTATCAAACTACAATGAGGCACTGCCAGTCTAATTCTAGGAATTCACTTTGTTTGTAAATGTATGAGTGGAGTCATTGTAGCCTAAATGCATTTGTTGTCAACAAAGCATCCATTCTCTGTGTATTGACCTCACTCACATGTTTTTCTAAGCAAAGGTTTATTTTTAGCCTTAGAGCTAATATTGAGATGTTATTTAGCCCAGATTTTGGCATATTGTGAAATCATTTGCCTGGTGTAAATGATAGTATTAATAATATTAATTTAATTTTCCACATTCCACTTATTTATATTTTATTTGTTTGTTGCATTGTTTATGATTACTCAATAAATTTGTAAACAAGACCATTCAATCCTTGTGCGACTGCTCTATCATTATATCTAGACAAAGAATCATATTTGAAAACGCAGCAAATTTGAATTTCACAAAGCTAGAACGTTATAGTTCTTTAATATTCAAAATATAATTACTGCAGAAAATTTTAAGCTGCTGCCACACTAGTGTTTGACATTTAGCAGCTGATTAATTTCGAAAGAAAGTCTCATACTTGTATGCAGTAGAAATTAATGTAAACATTTACACAACCACACACACACACGCATGCCCATTTTATATAAAAAGTTATTTTAAAGATACAGTCACTCATAAATACAAACAGAAGAAATTATTATTTAAAGTGTCAAGAAGTGTCCTGCTTATGAGGAATGCAATAAACATGTAATTTCAGGGGAACTTCTGATATTGAAATATCTGTTGATATTAAAATGATAGGAATACTGACACAAAGAGCAATCTGATTGTCCATTGATATTTAACCCTGAAACAACTCACAGAACTACCAAATTTTGCTATAAGTTTGATTGCAACATATAATCATTGCTGGGTTTTTTTTTATTATTATGAATGCAAACATCACAATGACATTAAAGATATACAACTTTGTATAGAGTACACAACATTTATCAACAATATGTGCAATGTCATCTGAACATACAGAACAAAACAAAAAAAAAAGAAGAAAAAGATTGGAAGAAAGGGAAAAAAAACAAAAACATGAGGGTAAGATATTAATTTATATTTCAATTAGAGTATACAAATTAAAGTCATTACAAATTGAGGTTGTTCTTCCCGCTTTCTTATTTACAGAGGATGAAATAGTATTGATACATTTTAAATTCTTTCAAAAATACAATCATTGCTGTTAATAGTGTTCATCGTCTGTTTGATTACGACATTAACTGATTTTTACTGTACATTTCTGCCATATGTACATCAACTTGACATAGTCACCACTGATAAGCTACTACTAAATATATTGTAGAAACTTAATTTCCTGTAAAGCTGCGATTTGTATCGTGAAAAGCGCTATACAAATACACTTGAATTGAATATTTTAATGCTGCTCTAAATGATTTGCCGATTCACCGTAAGAGAAAATGCTAAAACAAGTGAAAGTGCTGGACTAATTTTACAAATAAACCCTAAATTAAAAGTTCACGCGGAATGGCAGGATATGCAGTGGGGTACACGTCTCACCTATATCCCCACAACAGATTTAACAGACATGTAAACTGTTTTAATATGTAAACTGACTCGTGTATAACCCCTCACATTCAATGTGTGCACTAAAATATGTTTATTTTGGCGTAATCAAACATTATAAACGAGGATCTTAAGATAAACAACCGGTGTCATATTAATCCGCGAGACACTCGGCGGTTTCATCCTCTGAGAGCAATTAGTCCTCCGGTTCACAACATTATTTGACAAAACACTTAAAAGATTAAGTGAGATGTTCGATATTCATGTTCTCTAAATAGAACATCACTTTCAAAAATAAATAGTGATACATTATAAAACAGATTAAGAATCTCTCCCTCTCGTCTTTTTCCCGTGACGGATAAATGAGTTCCGGCCAGCTTTGAGGACAGGAAGCGAGGAGACGCTGATGGCGCCCGACTAGAAACCATTACCAACTATTCGCTTTCAAAGGTCTATTTTATTTCGCCTCATTCGCGAGCGTGAAGAGCAAAATACTCGTCCATTCAAGGTAAGAAAAAAATCGTAGCTCAAAATAATGGTGTAGAATTGTGTACAAATACAGTTTCTTCCATGATGGGCAAGAGAAAAACATTCGGGCGAACTGGCTCTCCCTGCTCGCGCAGGCCCTCGAGGTCCCCGAGCGGTTCTTCATATCGCCTGAGCGGAAAAAAATAAACTCGTAGCGGCGGGAGGGAAAATGGCGCTGCGCGAGCAGGCAGGAGGAAGGGCAGCACATACACGCGCTTAGTATAGAGATAGAAACGAGCAAAGAGTTGCCACGGTCCATACGAGGACTCAAGTGTTATTAGCGTATTAATGTAGTGACATTTTTTTTTTTCATAAAATTGTTGGTGTGCTTAGTATCAGAACGTGACATGTTGAGCGAGGACAAATACCCTTTTGTCCTTGATAAGTTTGAGTCAAGGGAAAGATTTGATGTCCCAACCACGGCTAGATGGGTGTTTTGGTGGGGAGGGATTGATGTCATTTGAGGACATGAGAAATCAAATGTTTTAGATGATGTTTTCTGTTATTTAAATGAATTTAATGGGGGACCACGCTGACTTGTGTTTTTGCTGGTAAGCTTATAATGTGCTTGAGTGACCTAGAAAGGTGCCATCACAAGACGACTGTATTCACCCTATGGGGGAGCTTGACACTAACTTAACAGCAGTAGACATACATCACAGAGTAGGAAACAACAATAAATACAATACAACACAAAATATAAAGAAAAATGTACTCTTGTGATGCAATAAATATTTAGAAAATTCTAGTTTATTTAGAAAATCTAGTTGTGCAACTTGATTGCAACGAGGCTTTTGTGATAATTCTGCAGAAAATATGCACGTGGATCTGTCCAGTTAAAACTGAATGAAAGAAAATAGGCTATTGAGCATTTTTACATTGGTTTTTATTTTCATAGTTCACAGATTACTGCAAAACACTTTACACAATTATATAATTCTAGAAACAATTATATAAACCCACTGTATCTCCAATATAATATGATTTTAACAAATCTATTTTATATATATAGTATGAATTCTTTTAATAGTGAGAAACAATGTATGTATATAATATATAATTTTATGTGTGTACATTTCTGTTCAAAAATTGTGTTCATATTCATACTTTTTTTTAAAGATTTTTAAAGAATTCTCTTTTGCTCACCAAGGCTGCATTTATTAAATAAAAAATACAGTTAAAAAATGTAAGATTGTGAAATATTATTTCAGTTTAAATTAACTGTTTTATATTCTAATATATTTTAATAAGTAGGCCTATATTGTTTCTGTGAATTTTCAGTAGGCATTACTCCAGTCTTCAGTGTCACATGATCCTTTTGAAATTATTCTAATATGCTGCTTTGCTGCTTAAGAAACATTTCTTTTTGTTATTATGAACGAACAGTTGTGTTGCTTAATATTTTTGTGGAATCCATGATAATGTTTGATGAACAGAAAGTTCAAAAGAACAGCAATTATTAAAATTATTATATAAAATAGTATTTGCTGATAAATTTAATGTATCCTTGCTGAATGAAGGTCTTAATTTCTATTTAGAAATTCTTACTGGCTTCAAACTTTGTTAAAATATCGTTAATATAAATATTCAAATACTGAACTTCCACAAAATCATGTTTCTACATCAAAATACATTTTTCAATAAAATGATTACTTCATTACACTTTATGCGCTTGCCATCACCCATGCCCTTGCATGTATCATTCAGAATGCAATGTCCAACTTAGTTCGGCATTACTGAGTGACAGACACTTCCCACAGAGCAGAGATGGACTCTGAGGAGATGGAGGTGGAGAGCAGCAGTGATGTGGGGCATTCTGGGATGGAGGAGCCATCAGAGAGCGGCATGGGCATGGAGTCTTCAGAAGCCATGTCTGCCGATAGCAGCGATGCGGCGGCCCCAGAATCAGACTGTCACGTAGGACAGAGCTCTGAGGGACTTGTGGTAAGACAAACCCACATATTTATATCTCCGCATGTTACTATGTAATTTATATCAAGGATATTTTTTGGGGTTGCGCTCTAGGTTTTTATCCCAGAGACAAGCTCCAGTACAGATGTGCGAAGAGTTCATCTCCCAGACTCCTCTTCTGTCGCGCAGTCAACCAGTGTGTCCAGCGTCTCCACAGTGACACAGTCGGTCCTGGTGTCAGAGTCTGTCCAGGTCCTGGTCCACTCCAGCGCTGTTTCTGAAGGAGGAATGATGGTTTCTGATTCCACTGCTTCCACGTCCTCAGATCTCGGCTCAGCTATCGACAAGATCATCGAATCCACCATTGGGCCTGACATTATGAATGGTAGAAAAACCTCTTACCTCTTCTTTTTTATCACAGCCAAGGTATTTAATATGGTAGACATTGTCATCTTTATGTTTATGTAGTATTCAATGTCAATATTGTGTTTCTGTTCCTATTTTACAGGATGTATTGCAGTTACGAGTGCAGAGGATGGCAGTGCAGAGACCACACAGTATCTGATACTTCAAGGTCCTGATGATGGTGAGAAAGATCCCTAGAGTTCAAAGTCAAGGGCTGTATGTAGAATCACATACTCTATAAGCAGGTGCTTCTTTTAACTTCTTTTAAGTGATTGAAAAGTATGTTCTTTATGAATGTGTGTCGTATGATTGTAATCCGGACATGACCTACAATGTCAGTTGCATCACTTTACTGACATTCACAAATCCTCTCCCGTGGCCTCATGGGATAGTAAACTGTCCATCAGATGCGCACTTCAGAATTTCATCCGGGAAGTCGTAGGGTATCTGGTTACTTTTCACCTACTGTTTTATGAACACTGTGAATTCGGACATACTTCTCTTTTCACATACTGTTTTTTACCTACACTCTATGGTTGTTGGGAAACAAAACAAGCTTTGAAATAAGATAAAATAAAAAAAGAATCATAATATATTTATTATATTAATTCACCTCCAAACTTCTGTAATTCTTTTTTTCTTCATTTTTAACTATAATCATATTTGTGGACAATGGTGGTTTTGGAGTCAGAAAGTTTGTCTCTCTGTGCTAAATGACCAAATCCTGTTCCACAGAAAAATACAAATCATATGAGTTTTGAACAACAAGAGCATTAATAGATAATGGCTGATCTTTTATTTTTGGCTAAACTACCCCTACATCCTACATATGGTGCTGTCAATATTTATATTGTAGTAAAATTCCCTCTTTGTCTTGTTCTTCTTATAATCTATGTGACTAATCTAGATTTTAAATGCATAAGTTGTCAGTTAGTATATTATTTGACCAAAATGTGCTAGTACAACTACCATTCTCATTGCAGAAAATAACTTTTCAAATTGCCTTAAAGGGATAGTCCTTTAATTTTCAAATTAAATTAATTTTTAAATTAATGAACATTTTCTCCCTATTCTGCCGTTTTAAACCTGTATGAAAAAAAAAACATGTTGGTAACTAAACTGTTTCAGTTCCCATTGACTTCCCATGGACAAATGGACAAAAATGCAATAGAAGCCAATGGGAACCGAAACTTTAGTTACCAACGTTCTTCAAAATATCTTCTTTTTTTGTTCCACAGAAGAAATGTATACAGAATTGGAACAACATGAGGGGGAGTAAATAATGATGAAATAGGGGTAATTTTTGGATATTTAATTAGCCATTTCCTTTGTTCACTGTGTGTAGGAGCTCCTATGGTGGCTCAGATGTCTTCCTCTGCTCTGTCAAGCCGCATTGCCATTGAAGCCCTTGCCGATGGACCTACCTCCACTTGCCTGGACCAGGCAGACCTGTCAGAAAACCCACAGGGCAGCGTGGAACCAGACCAGCCTGGACACTCCGGATACCGTGAGCATGACGATGGCAGCAGCAGCTGCAGCCACCCAGACCAGCCGCAGCACTCCCAGTACATAGAGTGCAGTGGAGGAGACGACCTGGACCAGACCAGAGAGGCTCGGTACATCGAGTGCTCAGGAACCGAACCAGACCAGACCCCACATCATTCAGGGGTCACCAACTACAACGTGGCAGACTCAGAAGGACCTCTAGGGCGTTACGCAGCAGAGTGCAGCGGTACGAACAGTAGTCCTCAGAGATGCTCGTTTCGCTCCTCCCGGTACATCGTAGAGTGCAGTGATGGCTACTTGGATTACGGTGCTGAGGGTGCGGAGCGGCCGCAGCATTCACGTTATATAGACAGCAGCATGGATGACAGGGAACACGTCTCGGCATCAGAGCAGGAAGGAAGTGTGGTAGAAGATGCCCAGCACTCCTACTTACCACAGGGCTCACTATATGCCGACGAGGGTGCCGTTCAGCACTCACTGGCTGACACAGTGGGATCCCAGCTCACTGATCAAATGGACTGCAATGATAACTTGCCTGGCTCATACATAAGTAGCAGTGGGACCTATTCCACCCACCCAGAGTCTGGGGTGGTGGATGAGCCTGGGCACAGAACCCCAGATATGGCTGAGCTAGAGGAAATGATGGAGGTGGTGATCGTACAGCAGTTTAAGTGTAAGATGTGCCCATATAAAAGTGTCTCCAAGGATACGCTCATCAACCACATGAGAGACAAACACTTTAAACCACCAGGTAAAGTAGGAGGTGCTAATTTTGTCATTTTCAAATGTATTCTTTGTTTTGATATCTGCCCTATTAATGGTCCTGTCCAAAATGGCACTCTTATACTAGGGCTGGGCGGTATATCGAGGTTGTATGATATATCGATATATTCTTTATAAGCACTGGCACTGGCGGATTTAGGCATTAGGCAATTAACAAACACTGATTTAATAACGCGCAATTACAATAACATAATACAGAAAAAATTGTGCAGTCTTAAGTCTCAATCAGGTCTCCATTTATGTATGCAGTTCTCTTAAGTTTCTCTTGTTCAGAATGTGCTATCTCATGTAGGTGGTCCAGGCCAAAAGAAACGTGGACGGGGACGTCCTCGAAAATCTGAGGGCAGGGTCAAGAAGGAGGAGCCACCAGAAGAGGAAGAAGATGACATAATTGATGCAGGCGCTCTTGATGATCAAGGTCAGTGGAGAGCAGTTTGCGTACTCTATTTAATTTCCTGTTTTTTAATTTATCTGCATTTTGCATTCAGGTGACAGTGATTATAAGCCAGCTGATGAAGAGGCCAGGTCCAGATTGGCTTCCAGTCACAGCACTCCTCCTCCTTCCTGCTCTTCATCATCTTCCTCTACCTCACGGAAACGGCCCCGCAGGACGGTGGGGCCACCCCGCAAATTCCTTCCTGACTCAGGTCAGTGTTAATTCAGCATTTCATGTCTAAGAAGTATAATACGATTTTTAAATATTAAACTCAATCTACTTCACAACTAGCATAGGTCTGAGATAACTATTATTTTTACCTGTGTATAAAACAGAGTCACCAGCAGCAACTCAAACAAGCAATGCAGGGGACCCTCAAGCTCCTGAAGAAGCAAGTTCCTCTGGATTGGAGAATGGATCTTCCTCACTATCCAACGGGTCAGCAGTGGAACCAGCCGTCAGCCAGTCAGATTCAGAAAACAAAGATCCCTCATCAAACACAGGCCCTGACGACCTGGAGTTTTTGCCCAAAAAAAGAGGCAGACCTTCTAAACGATTCCTTCAAAAGAAGTACAAAAAGTACATGAATCGCAAGTAAGTAGTACCTGTACTACTCTTTGATCATCCACAACATTCGATTAATTTCACTTGACCGTTTGACACAAAATTATATCTTAGAAAATATCTTAGTTTCATTTTTTTTTTTTAAAGCAAGTACTACAGATCCCTTAAGCCTCTGCTAAGACCTCATAATTGCTGGATCTGTGGCTCTCGCTTTCTGTCACAAGAGGATCTCAGATTCCATGTGGATTCTCATGAGGGAAATGACCCTGAACGCTTTAAGTGCCTGCAGTGCAGCTACCGCTGCAAACGGTGGTCCTCACTAAAGGTAAGAAGTAGAGTCCTTCATCTGACAATCCATAAAAACTGTATTTTATTCACTTTCATTAGTTAAAGAAAGGACCATTTTTAATGTAATTTAAATGTTTTTATAATATGTGCTAATGTCAAAATAAATGTATATAACTATAAAATGGATGTATGTGTCCTATAGGAGCACATGTTCAATCATGAAGGTACAAAACCATACAAATGTGAGACGTGTGATTACTCCAGTGTTTATAAGAAAGACGTGATCCGGCACTCAGCTGTTCACAACAAAAGCAAGTAAGAACTGAGCATGTCTCCTTTTCATCAATCACTTGTCATGAATTTTATTTTGTCAAACCCTTGAGGTCGTCTATATGATTTTTGTGTTTTGAAAAGATTTTTGTCTGTCCACTTGAAATGGTAAAATATTGAAATTTAAAATTCACATATGACATAACCTGATTAATGTTTTTAATGAATGTTCTGGTTTCTTCTCTTTTAGGAGTCGAAAGACAGATATGGTAAGATTCAAGATGTGACATGATGTATCAGTTTAAGTTAGCTTTGAGTGGTTTGATAAGGAAAGGTTTTCATGCAACAGTAGTCTTGCATCAATCCTTCCCAGGTTCCCAAAGTGTCCGAGTTTCCATGCCCCATCTGCTGTCGCGTATATCCCATGCAGAAACGCCTGACGCAGCACATGAAGACACACAGCAAAGAGAAACCTCACATGTGTGACAAGGTAAAGTTCTTGTATGTAGCTAGGTGTGTGAATTTTGTTAAACTAGTTTTGATGAATCAGTGAATAATCTAAGCAGATTGTAGTAAGCACTGATAAAAAAATAGTCTGTACAATCTACATGGGTTCACAATGGTTTTGTGAAATGTAGCCCTGGATATTTGCTATGTTCACACTAATATAAATGTGTTTGCTTTTCAGTGTGGGAAATCCTTCAAGAAGCGCTACACTTTCAAAATTCATCTTCTCACGCACATCCAGAACTGTGGCAACAGCACGTAAGTGAGATGTCAGGACTCAGTGTGACTGTCTGTTCCTCTTAAAAACTGAACTCCACTGGTTAACATAATGTAAAGGCAGCTATTTTTCTCCTCTCCTGTGTCAGGTTTAAGTGTGATTTTTGTGAGTACACCTGCAATGACAAGAAGCACCTGCTTAATCACCAGCTGTCCCACACCAACGACAAACCGTTCAAATGCGAAGAGTGCAAATACTCCACGAGTAAAGAGGATTTCCTGGTGTCCCACATTGCCATTAAACACACTGGCGAGTTATGTAATGGTTAAGAATGTTTAAATGTTGGTGGTAGAAAGGTTTACTGATCATATCTGTCCATCTTCACCCACTGACCAGGTGAAAAGCCCTTCTCATGCGACATGTGCCACTTCACGACCAGACACAGGAAGAACCTGCGGCTGCATGTGCAGTGTCGCCACCCCGAGGCCTTCGATGAGTGGAGCCGATCCCACCCAGAGGAGCCAATTCGCCGGCGCCAGATGTCTGTTTTCACCGTGCAGCAGATTGAGGAACTGAGATCACAGCATGAAACCCATGAATTTCAAGGGACCATTGTACGTACATAGATATGCATTTTGATGCCCTTGTATTTATCAGAATAGAAGAAAATCCCAGCATCCATATATATATATATATATACAGTGGGTACAGAAAGTATTCAGACCCCCTTCAATTTTTCACTCTTTGTTATATTGCAGCCATTTGCTAAAATCATTTAAGTTAATTTTTTTTCCTCATTAATGTACACACAGCACCCCATATTGACAGAAAAACACAGAATCGTGGTCTGAATACTTTCCGTACCCACTGTATATAAATATTTGTTTTACACCTAAAGGTAACAGTGGACCCCATTACTCTCCAAACCATGGAGTCCATAAGGAAAACATCTGTATCTCAAGATGCACTGGGAAACACTACCATCATTTATGAGCAAGGTTAGTAGAAAAGCTATCAGTGATTGGCACACCTAAAATATATGGTGTGCTTATGAATTCATCAATACAGTGTTACATTTGATATTTATACTTCCTCACAGCCCAGACTACAGACCTCTCAGCTCAAAATGCTCTAGATCTGCTGCTGAACATGAGTAACGCTAGAGAACTGCAGGTACTGGACTGACACACTCACGTCATCTACTGCAATATAAAATAATGTTAGAAATGTGTAATGTGTATGACATTTATTGGATAAAGTGGTACCAGTAAGTGAATTAAGGTCATATCTATAAAAGTAAAATGTGTCAATTTGGACATTTTTGAATGATACTAATTTGAACAACAACGACACAACTATAGGCCAATGGTGAGTGTGATTTGACCATGTACAACATGTTCCTGGATCAACATCCTTGTTGATCCAGGAACGTCATTCCAATCAACCAATCAGAATTGAGAGATAACTTTTCAGGAAATGTATGTTTTAGGCTTACAATCAGGATTAGGTGCTTCTACACCCTTGTTAATCAGCTATCGCCAATACTGGTGTGTATGCAATCAAATCAGTTTTGCCTCTGAATTGTGCTTTAACACCCCTACAAAAGGCAAAAAAAGAGCTATTTTAGCGTTACATCCATAATATAATAACAATAATATACAGTATCTCACAGAAGTGAGTACACCCCTCACATTTTTGTAAATATTTTATTATATCTTTTCATGTGACAACACTGAAGAAATGACACTTTGCTACAATGTAAAGTAGTGAGTGTACAGCTTGTATAACAGCGTAAATTTGCTGTCCCCTCAAAATAACTCAACATACAGCCATTAATGTCTAAACCGCTGGCCACAAAAGTGAGTACACCCCTAAGTGAAAATATCCAAATTGGGCCCAATTAGCCATTTTCTCTCCCCGGTGTCATGTGACTCATTAGTGTTACAAGGTCTCAGGTGTGAATGGGGAGCAGGTGTGTTAAATTTAATGTTATCGCTCTCACTCTCTCATACTGGTCACTGGAAGTTCAACATGGCACCT